GTTTTCTGTTTTGCAGCCAAACACCGGAAAGGAAAATGTTTTCTGGAAGATGAGTCATTTTTCAGAAAACATTTTCCAGAAGTCATTTTCCTGCTTTCCAAACGGACCCTTAGTGGCTAAATATTTTGTGCTCAAATGACATGTAGTGAATCTCTTATATGAGAGGTCATGAGGTCTAGTCCCAGTGTTCATAGATACTACAATGTAATAGAGTCGGTAACTTAAAAAAAAAAAAAAAAAAAAAAGTTGGTTTTAGTGTTTTACCCAAACCTATTTATTGGACTAACATAATACGTATAACTTTTCAAAAAGAAAAGAAAAAAAAAAAACATAATACATATAACTAGTTGCTGGCTTGCTGCTTTGTACCTATACGTACAGTCAACTCCTCGGCTCTCCACTTTTGGAAAGTGCCAATAAAGCTTACTAACTTATTAATAATAATAATTTCTTCCAAAAAAAACTTAATAATAATAATAATAATAATAATAATAATATCTCACATGAGAGATTATAATTTATCTGAATCAAACATTTATTACTATGTCAAAAATTAAGGTAAGTACTAAAAATATAATTTTAATTATTTATTGATTTATACTTGCGTGTTTTCGTGATCTGGTACTAATTGTTAGGATCAAACGTTTATCAATACACTACAAATTATATCTACCAATAAATATGTAACTTTATTTCTTAATACTTGGTAGTAACATTTAACTGCACGTTCTAGTTACAGGATTCTAAACTTAGCCCTTTTGGCCTCCGCCCAACAGATCAGACTTTCCATGGGTAACTCGAGGAGAAGTCAAACTTACTCGAACCCAATTCGGGTTAGACTCGTTGAACAACGGGTCAGGCTTAACCTAATAATCTAAATAAAAGTCAAACACATTTAGATCAATTTTTGTATTAGTCTCACAAAATACTAGATCAAGCTTACCAAAAATAACTCGAGTACAAGTTAAACTTGATCAAATACAAATTAGTCCTACAAAACACTATACTAGCCTTACCCGACCTTGAGTCAAAGCAACTTACTAAAGTATAAAGAGCCAATAACACCTTCACTAAGCCTCAAGCTCACAACCTCCTATATGGGAGCTCAACCCGGATGCCATTAGATGACAAAATCTTGACAAGTAAAAGTGGGATTAATTTAACACAACACTTGATTTAACTTTACAACAAATAATCTGGGTAAGAGTCAAACTCATCTAAATTATGGGGATATAAGTTGTATAATAATAATAGAAATAATATTACTCCGTAATAAACAAATAATTAAAAACCAACCCACGACAGCAATCTTCTTTCCCAAGTGCATGAATCCATGGCTTCCATGCCTCACCCCATTCCTATATAAACCCATCGCCCCTTCAACTTCTTCTCACACTTCACTTTAACGTATACCCATTTCTCCATATACTCCGACAAACAACCGGCCAAGAAACAACAAATTCAATTCACTGTCTTGTCGTGGTTAATTTTCCTTAAAAATGCCTTGCCTTAAATCCTCCACCACTCTGATCGCCAAATGTACTGTTTTTCCGGCGGAGGAATCCACCCTCCCGGACCTCAAACTTTCCGTTTCCGACCTGCCTATGCTCTCCACTCACTACATTCAGAAAGGCGGGCTTTTCACTCGCCCGCCGTTCTCGATCGCCCATCTAATCTCCTTGCTGAAACGGAGCCTTTCTCAGACGCTTACCAGCTTCCCTCCGCTCGCCGGCCGGCTGGTGACCGACTCGGAGGGATACGTTTACGTTGCGTGTAATGACGCCGGCGCTGATTTCGTTCACGCCAGCGCGACTGACGTTTATGTCCGGGACGTCATTGGTGGGGTGGACGTTCCGGAGGAGGTGACGGAGTTTTTTCCGTTTGACCGGACGGTGAGCTTTCAGGGGCATTTTCGTCCGATTCTCGGTGTTCAGGTGACGGAGCTTGCCGACGGCGTGTTCATTGGCTGCGCCGTTAATCACGCCGTGGCTGACGGAACCTCTTTCTGGAACTTCTTTAACACTTTTGCGGAGGTGACGAGAGGTGTTAAGAGGATTACGAGGCAGCCGGAGTTTAGCCGCGACTCGGTTTTGATCTCGCCGGCGGTGCTGAAACTCCCCGCCGGCGGGCCGAAGGTTACGTTTGCCCTCGACGCGCCGTTGAGGGAGCGGATTTTCAGCTTTAGCAGGGAATCGATACTGAAATTGAAAGCCAAGACGAATAGTCAGAAATGGGACGTTAACGGAGGAATTGACGTCGTTGAGTTAATGGGAAAGGAAAGCAACGACCCCTTGAAAATATCTAACGGAAAGGTCACGCCGTTAAACTGGATTATAAATTCCGTTACAAAACCCGAGAAACCCGGGGAGGAGATTTCGTCGTTTCAGTCTCTATGCGCTTTACTATGGCGGGCGGTGACACGTGCGAGGAACCTGCCGGCGTCCAAAACGACGACGTTCCGGATGGCCGTGAACACCCGCCACAGACTCGACCCGAAACTCAACCCGCTCTACTTCGGCAACGCCATACAGAGCATCCCGACATACGCCGCCGCCGGCGACGTCCTGTCACGTGACCTCCGGTGGTGCGCCGAGCAACTGAACAAGAACGTGAAGGCCCACGACGGCGATATGGTCAGGAAGTACGTAGAGGCCTGGGAAAGCGAGCCGCGGTGTTTTCCGTTGGGGAATTTCGACGGCGCCATGCTCACAATGGGCAGCTCGCCGAGATTCCCAATGTACGACAACGATTTCGGGTGGGGCAGACCCGTCGCCGTGCGGAGCGGGAGAGCCAACAAGTTCGACGGCAAGATTTCGGCTTTCCCCGGCCGGGAAGGCGGCGGGACAGTGGATTTGGAGGTGATTTTGACGCCGGAAACAATGGCGGGGCTGGAGTCCGACCCGGAGTTCATGCAATATGTATCGGGTTATTAAAACGGGTTTGGGAATAAAAACACCCAAAATAGTTTCTTTTGTTGTTGGGTCTTACTCTAATGGGAAAGTTATTAATTTTTAGCTTTATTATATGTATAATGTAATGTAAGTAACAACAAAATGTCAATGATGTTCATTAACGGCTTTTGTCATTATCCACTTTTGTCAATTTGTCCTATGTTACTAATCTTATAACTTGGATAACATTTAAAAAAAAAAAAAAAAAAAAACTTCACTAAATGTCCCAATCCATAATTAATTAATGTTATACGGTTTACGGAGTAGTACCAAAAAAAAAAAAAAGAAGTCAAATATGAACAAATCTATATACAGTAACGTAACACTCTTCAAATAATTGTTTCTAAATTGGGCCTGATCAAGAACTTTTCGAATTCATATCATCTCGTGGGATACAAGGTGAATGATTAAATGAATCGTTCAGATTGGACTTGTTGGTAATCCTTGGTATATTAGTTAAAGGTAGAGTTGCTTGCACGGTTTAGTTCATTGGTCCAGTAGGCAATATTTGGAAGAGGAGATCAAGATTCGAACTTCAACATCGATGGTGTTGAGAAATGGACAGATCCTTTATGCGCACCATCATTTGGACCTGTATAAAAATTTATACAAATCTAATTTTCATGTCATAATAATTAATAAAGATCACATAGAGGTCTTTTTTTTTTTTTTTTTTTCTGTCTTCAAAAAAAAAAAAAGGAAATTTGATTTCGAGAACTTACATGTTTCCTTATGGTTTGATTGGATCTGAAACCTTTGACCCAAGACCATATGTTGGCCCAAAATCAAACTGGGCTTCTAATACTTCGATGCGTGAAACTTCAAATACTTTCACTTTCCATGCATGCAATTTTCTACTCCTCATCCAATTTTATGTGTCTAGTTTAGTTAACGAGACTTCACTGAAGTAAAGTATCTGTTCGTATATACTTTGAAGCAAAGTATCTTACTTGACTGAAGTATCTGTCTCCACTAAAGTTCGATTTCTTGACCTCCCAATATGAGAGAGTCATTACATGCCATCTAAGCACATGCTGCTTGGCAATAGGTAGTTAATTTTATTATTAATTCTTATTATTCTATAACCTCGAAATTATTACATGGACTATAATAGCAAAAATTAGAGTAGGGTAAGGTTTGTCTTTGCTACGTTTATATCATGATTGTGTAGATATGAGAGAAAAACATCCTTATTCTTAACAAAGTGCGATGAATGCGCTCTAAAATTTAAGTACAAAGTGGCTAGGAGAATCTTCGGCCAAAGAAGTCGAATAGCTTTGGTCAATGATTAGCTAGTGCATAGTGTAGAAATGAGGAGCAGAGGAAGATGGCTCGCGCGGGCTTAACTTAATAATTTAATATATAAGTAGTATTTGAGAGAAGAAGAGATGTAGAAGAAGATGAAGATACTTTGGACAATAGAGCCATAAAATTGTTTAGAGTGAATCTCATTTACTTATCATGATGTGTGACATCGTACAAGTAGACTAACGTGTCATCCCAATACCTAATTAGTGGAAATGATCGGTAGTGTAAGTGCAGTGGTGTGTCACTACCTTTATACAATTACAACGACCTAGTTTAGTGACGTGATAGTGTAAGTCGTTATCCGCTAATTTGACTCTTAATTACAAGTTATAAGATAAGTTGGATGGATAGGCAAATCTTCTAATTAAATCGGGACATTCAAAATGTTGCTCTTTCGGCCTAAGGTAGTGTGTTATTAGATTATTAAATCTTTTGGGTTACCCTAATAATGCCCATATCTATAATCTCCAGTTATTGTATGTAACAATTGATTCTAAGTACCATAACGTCAAGATATGCATATTAAATGTACCGAAAAGAGTGACCGAATATTTGAAGCATGATTTTCATACTAAAATTAAACGTGACGAAATTGATTCTTGCTAACCCACATTTGATCTAACCCGTCAAACAGAAACTTTCCAGTATGATTATTTAACACTCTTGTGCAGTTTGATGACTATTAGCACGTTTTTACCCGGTACACCCTTGGGTAGTGGGCCTGCTAGGCCTTATGATTGATCAAATGAAGCTTAAACGAAGATCTAGCATTGGATGATGATCCATTTGAGTTCCAATATTATTGCTACTGCAATAATGAAACGCAGCATTCGTATTCCCACAAAATCTCAATTCATCAATGGAGTTCAATGGGAATAGCTGCAAAGTCTCCACCACCCTTTCACCCGACCCGACATTCTCTTCATGTCTGGAATCATCGTCATCGTCATCATCATCATCATCCACCGAGACTTTGCGACGCCGTTTCTGTCTTTCTCGAGCTTTGTGGTTTTGAAACCAGTAGAAAACGTTCTTGCTCTCAATCTTTCCGTAAAAGCTAAGCTCAGAAGATATCTTCTGGATCTGATCGGTTGTTGGGGTTCGAAGGCCCGCACTGAAAAGATCAGTCAGAAGTTTAACCTGTTCGGTTGTCGGATTCCACCGCCCACATTTCGTCCCTCTGCCGCCGCCGCTGCGCCGCCCAACCCTCGGCGGCGCGCATGCGTAAACTCCACCTGCCATTCCTTCCTCCATGAGCTTCTTGAAAATTATATAGATTACTCAGCTTGATTATATTGCTGAATGTTTCGATTGATCTTGTGTGAAACTGTTTCACGTGGTCGAAATAATTTTTTCCACTAAAAATTTGAAGGAAGATGAGTGTGGTGAGAGTGAAATTAGTAGACTTGGATATGGGAACTTGGTAGTCAAAGAGTGTTGAGGTTAAACATGAAATAAAGTAGTTTAGTAGTCCTATATATATATATATATATATATATATATATATATATATTGTCCATATACAATAGGAGCTTATATATATAGCTACTTCTTTTTAGGGTTTAGGGACAAACATAGTATAGGAGACACAACACCATACCAACAACAATTTGAGATCTTGGAATAGGGACAAGTAGAAGGGTGTCAATTTAGCTTTTTTGCAATGCCTTTTTCATACTCCGTGTTATTTAGACATTAATAATACATATATAATTTACAACCATGTGATCATTTATCAACTAAGGTCACATGACATAAGGTTTCACGCAGAACGCATATCAAGTGAAATAATATTTCTAAAACCTACAACATTATCTTTTCTTTCAAAAGACTGAATCTCCAATTTTAAGGGTCATTACACTTCTCCTAAAAGGATGAATTCCCAACCCTAAAAGCTCCCCACACTCGGACCCGACAGAGCATGTGGGAGGTGAAGGTCACTACACTGAGTATATGTGAGGAAGTTAATCACAGTAATTTAGCAAATAAGGTCAAATGTGAAGTATTGAATCTTAAACTTTTCTTTCAAATACTTTCTACTAAACTAATAAGCTAAACTCATGCGGGCAACTATGTATGACCCTATCTCAAAGTGACACAATAGATAATCCCATCCTGTGAAAGTGTAGGGTCATATGATTTCTTAATTGGGGCTGTTTTCTACAATTCCCAATGATGTTGTTTTTTTTTTTTTTTTTAAATCTCTTCTTTATATATTGAGCTCATTTGTCTGCTTGCTCTTGGTTTAGAATTTTGATGCAATTTTATTTTTCCTTTCCCTTTCTTTTTATTTTAAAAAATTAATTAATTAAGAGTATTCAAATGCATAACATAAAATCTTTAAAAATTATGACTAAATTAATCCCTTTCCATGAAGAAATTAAGATACCTCATCTTGAGCATATATAATAATATATAAAATTTAGATTTTTAATTGAGACGGAACACATACTTTAATTTAGTATCAGAGTCAATTAACTTCATGCCAAGCATATATAATATATAAGCATAAATGTGCAATTCAATTATCAACTTAACCTTTTAGTGATCTCATATCAGAAGAGTCCCATCCATGTCTTGCTTTCTTAACAAAGGTTTCAACATAGAGCAATATATCTAACATTATATATACATACCGATTAGCATTTGTACATCTTATAATAGGTACAACTCAATTTTTTTTAAAAAAAAATTAGACTTGTATTGAGTATATATTATGAGGTGTCTCCGGTATAAATTGAAAAAAAAAATAAAAAATTATTCACTTTTAAGTTATACAAATGCAAGAAGTATACGTGTCAATTGATTTCTTAGAATTTTTTTATACATGAGCATGTTGGGTGGTATAGGAAGGATGGAAAGGTGAAATGGGTAGAAGTGCCATGCGTTGGGTCTCTTTTTTGTCACTTCCATTTGTCCAAATAGATACTATAAAGTTTTATAAATCAACCCTTATTTATTTTACTATTCATTTGATTTTTGGATGGTATGAAGTCATGACTTCTCGTGTGTTGGTGCGGATTACACTATTAGGTATGTATAAATGCATCACATAAATTGTTCGAAAATGCACCAGAATGAATTGAAATACACAAATACACCACACATTGTTCAGAAATGCATCAGAATAAAATGTACAAATGCACTACACCTAATAGTGTGACCGTATAATCGCACGAAAAACACTGTCCGCGCGAGAACTGATCCTTTAGATAGCTACTCAAAAATGTGTTTTTGATAAAATTCATCTTATAATTTTAGTCGACAAATTATTATAAGCTAAATCATGTTAGCCTAAATTATATATAACTGACCGGTTCAAACTAAAAAAATTAATATAACACTTCTAAAAAATTAAAGTCGAACTTATCGGGCCAATTATCTGACCAACTGAAGTTGCACACATTTACTTAGTATTTAGTAAAATATTATTTAAAGAAAAGCCTTACCTCTATCAGCTAGGGTTTCGAAAGTTGCAACCTACGTGCAGACACACAAACATAGGAAAATGTTTTTCAGTGAGATTCGAGAAGTGTATGGTGCAGTGGCGCATGTAAAAAGCAGATAGATTTCGATTACAGATAGATCGGAAATAATGCATAGAAAGTAAGGGCAGGCAGGCGTGAACTCAAGGGGCCGCCCTAATTTCCGTCTCTTTCGTTGTTGTCTCCGCTGACATCCTCAGTAATGGAAGTTTTAGGAAACCCCATTTCTGGGACACCACAGTTCTGGAAACAAGGAACTCAGTACATATATACATACTTGATATGATACTTCAATTCTCCATTTCTCCCCTATAATAATTAAATAATTCCCAATCATGCTTTTATATTATAATAACAATAATAGAATAGCTAATCTTGTTTGGCGAAAGTTTAGAGGGCAGACTCTAACATCTTGTCATCGAAACGTAATACTGATTGTTATGCAAGTATAAACACATAATCTGTTAATTGAATTGACATATCATGAACACCTTGCATTGTGGGCTCTTTTCCAAAACAATGCTTAGGCTTAGTTAATAAATTATGTACCTAATGCACAATTAACATTATTGATAGGTAATATATACCTCGTTTTCCCTACATCACGTTCGGTAATCACGTGACCTCAACCTTCGTACCTATTGGATCTGATGAAAATTGGAATGATTGGACCGAGCGCCGACCGGCCGTAGATCTTAAAGGTTATAAATCTAATTGGGAAGAGTGAATAAAATATCTGACAGCCATGCCATAACTTTAATCTGATCAGAAAGTGTTATCACATCATAATTACATGTATTATCGACTTCGATGAGACACTATGTCATAAAAAAAATAATTGTGGAATCCCCCTTTGGCACGTGATAAGCATTTTGAGAATCCGACATGTGTTTCCCTTTTCTTCTTATATAAAGCGCATTAGGTGGGAAAGCTGGAGCGGGGGGGGGGGGGGGGGGGGGGGGGGGGTGGAGGAGGGGGAGGGAAGCTGGGGAGGCTATCAGAAATTCTGAACCCTAATAGTTCAACCTCGGAATTGTTTGATCAAACTAGACTTGTTAACCTTAAACTCATATATTAGATCCAAATAACACTGTACGATCCAATTAATGCATATTATGTAATGCAGTTATTAAACTATATACATATTACATGTAACATATTATATACATATAGTTAACATATTATTTACCTTCAATGAATATATTATGTATCTATTACAATGAACGTACTAAATATCTTCAGTTTACTTAGGTATGTAATTTGTTAATTGAATATACATAATCTAAATATTGTTTTATATCAAAATCCACAATGCAAAAATAAACCTTGATCTATGTTATAATTTGTGTACGGTGAATCCTGATACACGATATAACAATTGTTTTAACCCATCATGGGCTGATAAATAAGACATGAATGTGGCACATAATCCTGGTGATTCTTTTGCGTATAACATGGATCATATCTATGGCCCAGACATAGGTCTCCGAATCAAACAGCAGGGCCATGCTGAAATGGCCCATTTAGGATTTAATATAATTCGGTAAGGAAATTTAATTTGTTGTGTTTAATAGTTATAAATATATAAATTTTATATATTAATATCAAACATAATACTGAGGCGTGGGCGCTATTAAAAGTATACACTTAGCCAAACTGACCCAAGGTAGACACTTTGTGTCCAAAAGTGATGCGAAGATAATCGTGGAAGCTATAAATCATTAGCTCGAGCCTTGGCAGCATGTCAGATAACATCCTTCATAGATGCAGATGTGATTTAAAAATAACTTATAATTTCAATTAAGCTCCGTTAATCGAACTAGACAAACAAAATACGATGGAAGGAGTAATAAGTAATAAAAAAAAAAAAAAAAAAGTAGTCCACAATTTTTATTAAGTGGGCACGAGGTACTTAACTCGTTTGTATGTGGGCAAGAATTAAACTAGCATTTTGAGTTTTTGACAGAGAGAATGAGAGCAATACTTTTATTTGAACAACCTCAAGATTACAGAACAAACATACAAATTATACAAACGCCCAACTGTTTAACTCTTTTGGACTTTAATGAAAAGCAAATGTCCTAGAGATAACAAGCAACATGTTCCAATAATTGAATTGAGGTTGTCTTGTCCTTTATCTCTCTGCTTCATTTCATCGCCAGCCACAAGAAAATTAGGCAAAATAAAAGGCTTCAATAATGGAGAACAGTACAATTGAAGAAGATGATAAGTAGTCGGATCAGGATGACTTGAATGGGATGGCTCTGATCACAACCTGGTGGTACAGTGCAGCCAGTGCTGCCCCAACAAATGGTCCAACCCAGAAGATCCACTGCACATATATATATATATAGTCACAAATTATTAAATTATGATTCGTTAAGTGAATCAATTATTTATTTGTATCAAATACTAATATGATAACATTTCGTCTTTATAATATTTGATACAATCACACATGTTATATGTATCGATTTACTTATTGAGAAATGAAAATGGGGAATGAGAAGTTACATACATGATCATTCCATGCGTGTTCATTGTTGTAGATGATGGCTGCACCGAGACTTCGGGCCGGGTTAATACCCGTGCCGGTGATCGGAATGGTAGCCAAGTGCACCAAGAAGACGGCGAACCCAATGGGCAACGGTGCCAACACCTAATTATTCGTCACAAAATTCATATCAGCAAGGTAAAAAAAATAGTTATAAACAGATACTACATTGTAACAGATTACTTAGTATAGTACTATATAAA